CTCTCTCTGTTGTTCCTGATGACTTTGCACCTAACCGGTTTTTTCCAAGCCAAGGTTCCGTAAGTGCGTCAGGGAGATGCTGTTAGTGGAAGGATAGCGAAGCAGAGGAGTTGACTGCTGAGTGTCTAACCCAAACCTTCCAGGCTACAGTTTAAATCCTCCGCTTCTCTCCTATCTGCTGTGGATATAGAGAGATTTATTCCTTTTCCCTTTGCATCAGCCTTTGTGTCTTCGAAAACTTGACACCTCTCCTCAGTCCTCTTTTTTTCTCGTCTCTCTCGTCTCTCTCGTCTCTCTCGTCTCTCTCGTCTCTCTCGTCTCTCTCGTCTCTCTCGTCTCTCTCGTCTCTCTCGTCTCTCTCGTCTCTCTCGTCTCTCTCGTCTCTCTCGTCTCTCTCGTCTCTCTCGTCTCTCTCGTCTCTCTCGTCTCTCTCGTCTCTCTCGTCTCTCTCGTCTCCTTTTTTTCTTTTTTCCTTTTTTTTTCTTTTTTCCAGCAAACAGCCTGTCTTTTTAATTCTTGTAGATTCTTTTCCAGCCTTTAATCATTTGCATTCCTTTCTGAACTGACTTTGTTCCATCTCTTTGTTGAAGTGCAGTGGCCAACGTTGGGTGTAACGGGATAGAACAAAGAGAGTAACTCCTGTGTCTTGAAGGTGATACTTTTGTGTATATCCCGCTGTGGCATTGGCCTTTTTCTCGGCAGCGTGACATTGACTTCTGCGTTCAGCTCATGATCCACTGCGGCGTTCAGATCCCCTTCTGCTCAGCTACTACCTACCCGGTGGTTTTCCCTCCCATATTTGTTTGGTTTTATTCCTGCCTCAGAGTTGTAGCTTGTATTTGTCAGTAGTGACTTTCGTTCCTCTTGTCAGAATCACTCTGAATTGCAGTCGTGTCTTTCAGCAAACGTACTGGCGGCTCTTCCCAGCTGTGTTTTATCAGCCAGTTTAGCAAACATGCTCTGTTCAGTCCTTCATGCCACTAATGAAGGTGCTGAATAGGGCTGGGCCCACGGTCTTACACGCAGCACTACAATATTTTTTTGCTAACTGCTCCCTAAATAAGGCTTTTTCTGTTGGCTTTACGCCCATATTATATCAGTTTCATCTTGCTGCTTTTCCTGCTTTGAGGATGTCATGCTTTGGTTGAGATGTCTTCTGCTTTTCTATTGATAAAGCTTGCTACTCTGTGATGGAAGAAAATTAAATTGGTTTAACCTGACGTTTTCTTGTCTTCTGGGTTTTTGGTTTGGTTTTTGGGGTTTTATGACTTACGCGCGTGTGTACGTGAAAAGTGGCACCTGCTTCCATAGCTCTCTGAGAAGGGTCGAGGGTTCCCGGAGAATTAGGGAATGCTCCGGTTCCCATCACAGTTGAGGAGAGGTATGCCCACAACATCAAAACCCGCCAGGAGAACAAGGATGTCATTGGGTTGCTTACGCGTGACTGGACACGGGACAGCCGGACACCTCCAGAGTATCGCTCGTCAGTGCTTTTCACCTTGCTCGCCGTTTCTTTCGCTGGAGGGCGGGAGAAGCAGCCCTTTTCTCTGGCAGGTAGGAAGGCTCCGCTCCCGTCTGCAGGCGGGGGGTGGGAGGTCGCCCTGCAGAAGGACAGGCTCCTTCAGCAGCTTTGCTTCCCTCCTCAGCGTGAGCTTTCCAGCTGCGCTTCTCTTGCCTGTCCTGTCATCACATCTGACTTGCGTTTGGAGGGAGGAGGGTGATACTTCCCTCCAAAGCACATGTCTGCAGGTGCCTTTAGTACCTGCGTGTCCTGGAACGCTTTGGAATAGGATCAACCTGAGCGTTAGCTTGTAAAATAAGGTAAAGGCTGCCTCTCCAACTGACACTGTTGTAACTGGGGAATAAGAAGAAGAAAGCAAGCTGTCTGGTCTGTTCCTTCTCACCGTATGTAATGTTAAAAGGGCAGGGGAGGGCAAGGAGAATAACGTTATTCCAGGTGTCAGCTCCTCCTTTCAATAGCAGGGATAGAAGAGCTGGAACAGAAGTAGGTGATTGGGCAAAAGCACATCTGAGTGATAAGGTGTTCTTTTAAAAAGGGGGGAAAAAGAAGTAACAAATCTCCAGGACCAAGCTAAGACAGGGCTGAAACGTCTTTCTAACACCACCTTTCCCAAGTGGTTCAGTATTTCTGGGAAAAAAGAAATGTGTTCTGATCAGACATGGAACTGAGAGATTTTTTTTTTTAAGACCTCAAGAGTTGGGTTCTCCAAACACAATTCCTGCCCTCGACCAGACTCTTGGATCTTTCTTACGTGTTCAGTTACACTACCATGATAGTGTGATGCAATATTGAGATGATGGAAAGCCAGACTTCACGTCTTGCACTAGAAAATGAGTAAATGTAACTTCCGTGTTCAGGTGCTTATAACTTTTTTTCCTATGCTTAATCTGTTCTTTAACATTGATCCTGTTCTCCCCGGTCTGTGTTACAGAGGCTTTGATTTACTTGAATTATAAAAGGGATTTCTTGGCTTGTGATTGGTGGCAGTTTGAGGATTTCAATTTATTTTAGAGTTGAGTGACGTGGCAGATGTATGTCCAAACTTGAAAGGAAATTCAGAGTTTGTCCCTACGCTGCGTGTCCTGTTTGCTTGAAGAACAGGGATTGCTAAAGGGCATGTAGGAAAGAAAAAGATACCCGAAATGGAACGTGATTTTCTACACTTTATGGGGACTTGCTTGTTTCTAGTAGAGCCGTGCAGTTATTGTTGCATTTTTCTCAAAGCACTTTGTGTTTAGCATAATTGTATTACCTGTTCACAGGGAAATCTGAAGTCCGTTGTCCTGGCTGGGTGAATAGTCCAGTAACGTGAAGAGTGCCTCCGAGCTAGCTTTCAGGCTGTGGATCCCTGTGCAAAACCTGAGTGAGGGTCATGAAATTCTCCAGAACAGGTGTTTCATGGCGTGTGCTGAGCCCTGGTCACCTTTCTGGGCACACCCACAGGCAAAGAAAGTAATCTGCTGCGAGCTCAGATGGAAGCTTTGTCTAGGGACTCCTCTGCCCCTGTTCTGGTCGCTGTGTGAGCAAACGGAATCCGAGCTGGTGTTTCAGGTTGGGTCCCTTCAGACTGTCCAAAGTTCTGACCGAGTATCTCCCTGCTACTGGTCCCCTGCCCTCTACTAATCAGGCAATATTCTTTTTCTCCGTGCTCCCCCCTGCCTGGTTTTCCAAACTTATACTGCTTAATCCTCCTCTTACCCTTCGGATGTGCAAGGAAATCGAGAACTGCCTGACTGTGTAAATGCTCCGAGATTGATGGGTGCGTTTGTGGCTGTTCTTTCCTGCCAGCTAGCAGGAACGCTCTGGGATTATCCCAGAGACGTTGCTTCACGGCAGTCTGCTCGGCTTCCTCCCCGCGCACACAGGTCTGCATTTACCTTTTGGCTGCGGGTTCTTGTGATAGGCAGCAGCATAAAGGATGCCTTTCATACCCCTCTCACGTGGAGATTATATCAGGGATTAACTTTAATGCTCCAGATGTGGGCTGCAGAGAGCATTCCAATGTTATTAGAAAGGATGACATTTTCATTACCTTTCAACACCAGCTCTTTGAATAGCTGTGGGGCACATTCTGTGCTTCGTGACCGGGGCCTTTAGTTTTTAAGGATCGCTTGAATAACCGAAAACTGGCTAATATCACTACAATAACGTGTAATTTCTCTAAATCACTTTCTGCTGCAAGTGCAGGAAGCTTTTCTTTTTTTTAACCGCAGCTGTGGTCTGAGCAACTTAAATAACACTCTTGATTTATCCTAGCGGTTTACGGAAATGCTGACATCCAAAAATACTTTGATGCGCTACACTCTGTTCTTGAGTGGCTTTTAGGTGTTTTAAGTACATCTGAAGACTTTGGTGCATAACTTCTGCCTGAACTGTTGAGGAAGCACTTTCCAGCATGCCGCGTCCTTCCCTTCCCCAGCAGCAGAGGAATTGCACCGTCACCCTCACCCGAAGGGGAATAACAAAAGCGGTGCTTGTCGCAGTCCTTCGGGGGAGTTGTCTGCAGCCAGGATGTTTTTCATAGTCGCACATTAGAACCAGAAAAACTACACGGACTTACATTTCTGAAGGTGGAGTAGACTGTTAAAAAAAAGAATTTTGGGCTTTGGTACGAAGGCGAGTAGCTCGGTAACTTGAGTGTCTGCTTCAGGACTACTAACCCCGTTCGCAGAGATTGTCAGCTCTGTCCTGGTAGTGTTGTACAGCTCATTTAGGAAGAAGTTTTCTGGAAAGGCTCTGAAGCCTTTGGGAAGTCATTTATTTACCTTCTGTGCCTGGGGGTCTCCTTTACTCTAAGAAAATGGCTCTTTATTTTCAGGTTAAGGATCAGGGTGCCTACAGTGCCTGGAACGTGCCGATTTATTATAGGCGTGCCAGCTACAGTAGTCTGCGTCATGGACTTGTAGGGTAAGGTAGCACGTGCTGCAGCGAGAAGGCACTGAAGTGGAGAACGGAGGGGCTCGGGACTTCAACTAAACGCAGTAGTAACTCATCGCCTGTTGTGTGCTGATGGACGCTTGCATGGTTTCGTCTCTGAAGTGTTCCTGTTTTCATTGGTATATGAGATGATGGGCAGTGGTGCTCTATCTGCATCATGTCTGTTGCTGAGTACATGGCTAATAGCTCTCAGGAACCATTTTATTCCCTGAATAAATAACACATAAGCCCTCTGGGATTGCCTGGGGCGTGTGCTAAATGTTTGAGTCTCTTTTTGGTGGTGTTCTTGAAAAAAGTTTTGTTGAAATAACATGTCTGTCCTCTTGCTCTGCGCTGAAAAGGCAAGGCAAGGTGCTGTTTACTCATGTGACGGGACAGTTCCCTGTGAATGAGGGGCTTTTATCAGGAAATGGTGAGGTTCGTTTGAGACTCTTGGTTTAGTTCCAGTGATTTCAGCCTTTCTTCTTGCTGACCCACGCTACCAGCCAAACGTCAGCGCAAGCTGGTCTTGCGAGAGCAGCAAAGGGTGTTTTTTCAAATGACTCTAGGATGTAGAAGTGGATCCTGCTCTTCTCGGCCATCTGTGTCAAGCTGTGGCTCGAGGCAGGCAGCTCAGTGGCCTGGCTCTGCTCTCCTGGCGAGGAACAGAGGCAGGGGAAGGGTGCGGTGGCTGGAGAGGACTCGTACCACTTGCTGTTCAGACCGTACAGAGAGGATCAGCATAAGCCTCTCTTCGAATGTCTGTCAATTTAAGGAAGGGCTTCTCATTCCACGTGGCATTTTTAGGATGAGATCGGTTAGAAAGGAATACCACAGTGACAGAGCACTGGGTATTTAAGCGAACAAGGGTAACTTGTGCTAGTTTCTGCTTTCTCAAGTTCACATTTAGCCTGTTAAGCTTTTCTCCAATTATCTACCCTTTGATTTTCAGATGGCTTTCGAAAGGTTGTCCACATTGAGCAGGGAGGATTGGTGAAGCCAGAGAAAGATGATACTGAATTCCAGCATCCGTACTTCATCCGAGGCCAGGAACATCTCCTGGAGAACATCAAGAGGAAAGTAACCAGCGTAAGTTTATACAACAGATCTTGCTCTAGATAAACTGCTTAAAAACAGAGGATTAATCTGAAAAGCATCAGTGTGCTCTAAGGGCTGACGGACACGGGTGTCATTGGTTATTGTTTTATGCCAGCAGCGCTTCTTGCTGTCTCTACCCTCTCACCCAGGTACAAGCTGCAGTGCCATCCTGCTGATCGGCTGGCTTCAGGTTCTTGGTACCAGTCCCTGTTGTTCGTGGGTCTTGTTCTCAATGTTTTCAGCCATTAGGTTCTTTGTGGCACTGCTTGAGGCTTCCCCTCTCTCCCACACCACCAACAGAAAACAGCCAGCACTCTGGCCTTGCAAACCAGATTGTTTCCGAGTTCAGTAAAAAGGGTCACTATATTTTTCCTGTTTTTCTGAACAAGCAGCATCTGTTTGAGTTTAGCTTGATGGAGGGAAGTTTGCCGTGTCCTCTGGAGAGACTGAAGAGCAATTGTACCTTTCAGTAGGAGGGAGAGCGATCACTAGTTGAGGTGCAGTCTTTACCTAAAATGCGTCAGGGAATGAAAAATACATACATACGATGTGTGCACACACAGACACATGAAGATAGGTTCGATGTAGTAGTGGAAGGAGGAAAAGGGAGGATAAGATACCTGAATTATTTTAAATGTGTTAACCTCCAGTGTATCCCAAATATAAACTTGCGCGTTTTCCCTTTAAACTCACAGATGTGCTTTACAGCTGCCCCTGTTTCTTGACACACAGAATTGCAGTACATGCACTGAAGACATGGTATAGCAACAGCTGGTATCAGGAGTTCCAAAAATGCTTATGAACTTTCCAGGCTAATTTATTAGTCCTGAAGCGTGGGCTGGAGAAACACGTTTTTGTCATTCTTTTCCAAAAATTAATCAAAGCAATGCGTAGAGAGAGTAGCTCGCTCTTCTGTCTATCCCAGGGTGCTCTCAAATAACCGTAAGTGCCATTTTCACGGAGGCATTTAGTTCCTCTAGACACTTTCACAGTGGGCAAACGCGTTAGAAGGATGTAAAGAGATCTTAAAGATATGTGACCTGCTGGCAAGTGAAGTGGAGAGAAGCTGCTATTGAATAGGTGAGATGTGTTAACCTCTGTAATGGTTGGCAGATTCACAGACTTCTCACGCGGTACAGCTCTTGCGAAACGTGCCTAGGTGTCATTTCTCGTGAGGATATTATCAGAAAAATAAAATCGTCTGCTCAGAATCTTCTCCTCAGCTGCTTTAACACTTGTAGTGGCAATGATGAGGATCTCGAGCGACCGCCTGCTGCTCAGGGATCTCTGGAAGAGGCTTACCATTCCGCCTGCAGGCCTCTCTGCTGCAGTGAGCTCCTCTGCCCTTTTTCTCCTGATTTTCTTTCTCAGACCAGCTAATTACTTTCTTCATTGCCAAGACCGATACTCAGTTCACTGCACGCAGCAGAGACCTTTGAAAGCGTGCGAGAAGAACGTTTCCTATCTTCAGTGCAAATGTGCTCCCTGGTCTTTGTGGCTGCGAAGTTTTAGTTTTAGGATTGTCATAGGTAAGAATGTCAACCTTCAAATCTGAAGGTTTGCGTAGGCAGACAGCGCTTGTGCAGGCCCGAGCACTGTATTTCTGATCAAAAAAGATACTTATTTTTTTTTTAGGCTGCGACAGAGTTTGATGTTTTCAAATAGCAATATGCTCGCAGAAAACTTGCCTTGCAGACGGCTGGTTTTAGTCCCTTGACACAATGCACTCGGGTGTAAATGCAGCGGTTGGTCGAGAGGGGGGAGATGAATTATTTGCAGTATCAACTTTGAAGCTTAAATAACCGTTTTGTAGGAAGGAAACATCACTGACGTCTTCCTTTCTGTCTCCAGGTATCCAGTATAAAGAATGAGGATATAAAGGTTCGGCAAGACAATGTAACCAAGTTACTGACTGACATCCAGGTGATGAAAGGAAAGCAGGAGAGCATGGACTCCAAGCTGATAGCCATGAAGCAGTATGTATGTGGGGAGGGGATGGCAGAAAATGCAGGAGAGTTTGCTCAGTGATTTCTTTCCTGAACACGTCATTTTTAAGACCTCACCTGAGGGAAGGCTGGCTGCTGCTTGCTTGCTCTCTGTTCTGGCTTCCAGTTGTCTCGGGAGTATAGCCTGGGCTTTAAGAGGCTTTCTGCTTAGGGCAAGAAGGGGGTGGTGGAGGGACTTTTTGAACGCGATTAAAACCCGTTAAAGACCTGATGTCACAGCAGCCAGACCTGTGACCCCAAGCACAGCGTAAAGCCTCTTTGGAGTACAGCTCTGCTTTGAGGTATCAGTTGGAAAGGCTGTGAAGACTTCAGGAACTTCCTTCCCTGCCACGGGGGTTACGATCTGAAATTTCAGTCAATGCATGGTGCTGGGTTTTTCCCTTGTGGGTTGGTTCCCGTCCCCCCCTCCTCCCCCCCCCAAAGCACAGCTATTCTGTCTTGTCTTACGCTGCACCAGGGTATTCAAGTCATTTGGGATGATGTCTGCTGTCCTTCTGTTCTAATACTGCATTCTTCCTCCAGGCTCTTGACTTCTTACTTGCACCCGGTTAAATTCTCGCTGGATACTGCTCACCCAGTGTTGCTGTTGGGTTGGGAGGCAAAATGGGTGATCTTGAGTCCCACTGATAAACACTGCCTTACCTTTAGAGATGATCAGGGCACTGTTGCTCACCCTTACGTGACTTTTTCCCATGGTGGTCATACAGAAGAATTTAGTTCATGTCACCTAACCGGAATCTTGAAGTGGCGCACCAGGAACTGGCTGCCCTCCTAGCAGGATCTGTGTGTAATCTGCCAGTTGTAAGACTTGCACTCAGACTCAAAGTTGCCTTTAAGTTTAGATACCTGTTGAGGCTGATTAATATGGGGGGGGGGGGGGGTCGGTTCCCCTTTGTAACCTTTGAT